TATTACATGAGCAATATCTTAGAAAATTGAAAAGATAAGAGGCTCTTATTTTATATTCTAGATTGCCAATATCGGTAATTTGAGTTCCTAATTCGTATGAAAATATATAATTAGTATTTTGACATTACAAACATCTAATTTGAACCAGTGCTGCATTCAACATATCAGGTGACACACAAAAATCAATGTGTTTTTTAAGATATATTTTTAAATTAAGAAATTGAGTAAGATATAATGCTAAGATTGGAATTTTAATCTACAGTTTGATACCAAACTTAATGACATAAATTCATTAAAATTTTGAATAGAAGTCAACAAATACGATGACATGGCCTTTCACCCATGACCCGTCTGGAAAGGGTTAGTTGAAAAAAAAGGATTTAGTGCAGTACTACCATTAGTATAAAAAAGTAGGGTTAAGTGCTGTCAACCAAAAAAAAATAAAAGAAGACCCAGATAAGTACTTTTTCTTGTTTTTCACGTGTATTCTTTATTCATGATTATAGGAGTAACTAAAATATAGAAATAGGAAATATTTTATGTTAATTAAAGTTAGATTAGTTGAAATGAATAATAATAATAGGTGAAATGAATAATAATAATAATGTTTTTTCATGAGGTACCCTAGTGAGTAGCTCATACATTATGTAATTCAGTAGCATAACCAAGTGAGTTTGGTTAGGGTGCTCGACTCGCAATCTGCGGGTCGCGGGTTCGAATCCCTGTCCCACCAAACATGCTCGCCCTTTCAGCCATGGGGGCATTATAATGTGACGGTCAATCCCACTATTTGTTGGTAAAAGAGTAGCCCAAGAGTTGGCAGTGGGTGGTTATGACTAGCTGCCTTCCTTCTAGTCTTACACTGCTAAATTAGGGATGGCTAGTGCAGATAGCCATCGTGTAACTTTGCGGAAATTCAAAACAAACAAAAACCAAGTGAGTTACAACTTATAATGATGTGAATAGTAGTTATACATGGTTGAAAGGGCAATAAAACAAATTTAAGTATAAACAGATGTATACAGTCATGAGTTTAAAGCTACTTAGGATAAACAAATTTAGAAAGAAAAAAAAAGATAATTTAGATTTATTTTGACTTCTCTTTTTTTAAGGTGGTTATGTTGTTGGTCATATTGACCAACCTTGTACAGAATTAGGGTAGAGAAAATAACAGATAAAATATAGTTTTACAGAGGAAAAACATCTGAAATTTAGGTGATTTTAGATATTATGCAAATATAATTTGAGATTTTTGAGATGAAAAAAGTATTCTTAATCTTAGCATGAAAATCATTTACATTTCAGACTAGTATATAGACATTCTGTCTGTATTTACAGACAAATTTTTAGTAAAATTACTTCATTAAAAATGTAATTCTTTTGTGTACAAAAGGGCTTGTTATGTTCACTAAAAATCTGCCATATTTTGTATATTAAAATTTATAGTATAGAAACTATAATGAGTAAAAAAGTGGTTGCGAATTAGGTTGATTCAACAGACTTCGTCTTGAGAGAGTTAATACAAATTTAACGCAAGCAGAAATATGCTAGAACATACTTATTTTTCAAGTAAAAGTAATTAATTATACATTTGGTAATGTGAAGTCAGCTGTCATTGGTCTCTTCCTGTTAAGCCGTGTGGATCTAAATAGCAAACAATTGTTTTATTCAGTTTGTACATAAATCTGTATTCCATTTTTCTTTAGAGTTAGTTTCATTAAATTTTACTGGTTATGATGTTCAAATAACTTTAAGATTACTTTGAACTTATTGCACTAATAAGATCATATAATAAAAAGAATGAAATGTCAACAATAGTTAGCACAACTACAACAAATAGTGTTACTAATGTACTAATTCAAAAACAATGCTATACCACTGCTATAGCCTTGAACTAATGACTCTTGGTTTGTGCCAAGAAATAGATCTAGGTTTTCCACTTTCAATTTGTTTTATTCCATCTGTATAATTTTGTATTCCTGTATGCAAACTATTTTTATATGATCATTGCCAGTAATGTTGTACTTATAGGACATTCACAATGTAACATCTCTTTTTTTTTATGTGAATGGTTTAGAACTTCTGTTTGTTTGTTTTTTCCCCCTCACAAACACTTGGGAACATGAATTTTTAATTTTATGTTATTATTAAACATGAGGTTACAAGTTGTCCCTCTAAGAATTTATTTCAGGGTGTTATTATTTCTCAAACCTCTGGAATTTGTATTTGTGATGGTAAATGCTTGAGTGAAGGGACATCAACTTTCTCATGCCATTATATATGCCTTTGCCATAGTGAATTTGGTGAAGCTCCTTAATTTTTTTTTTTCATTTGATTGAGGGTAGTTTCAAGGAGACTGATTGTCCTTTTGCTTATGATGCTTATGGCACAGATGATCGTTTATGGTCTAAATTTTCTTCCACAGGTTCATAATGTGGGCATGTTTCTTTTGTATGTATGGAAAGTTGAGGCAAGAACCTGTTTCTGTTGCTGCCCTCCATGGTTAACTTCACAAACGTTTGCAGATTATCAGTAAACATTACAAAGCAATCATACACAAAATTTTATTAAGTTTCAAGATTTTTTTAAGTAGTTTTTCTCATGCATTTTTTATTTTTTCGAATATTGACTATCCAACATGCAAAGTAATTTTGATTTTAAGATTAAAAATACTTTTATGCATCAGAAAAGTTTCAAATTTCACATGAAAAAGCTTTATAACCTTCTGATAATTATCAAACCTTTTTTAAGAGAAAAATTTATATTTTATCT